GTATACTGAAACTGTGAGACCAAGAGGAACAACCTTGAGAGCCAATAAATCAGCATTGTGACGAGTGACTATTAATCCGGACAGATCTGTCGTTATCTCAACCCTTTGGGCGCCAAAAAAGGAACTGTTGTGGTTTAAACCCTAGCCAGACAGCTTGTTCACTCACTCCCAGTGAGTGGTGCCAGGCTGGAAGCAATCAAGGCACCCCCACCAAGGGCTCTCCCCTTCCCTGCTCCCGGACAGATGGGGAGGAGAATCAAAAGAGTGCAAATCCCACAGGTTGAGACAAGAACAGTCCAGCAACCAATGTACAACACAAATCACCACCGCTACCACCAACGACAACAGTGATAAGAGAAAATAACAAGGAGAAGAGAATACGATACCACCCACCGAAAAACGAGTCCGACCCAGAAGACCCCGCGTCCTTCCAGGTAACTCCCAGTTACCCCACCCCGGGCATGACATGCTGTGGTAGGGAATACCTCTTTGCCTAGCTTGGGTCAAGTGTCCTGTCTCTGCTTCCTCCCGGCTTTCCCTCCTCCCTGGCAGATCATGAGCCTCACAAAGTCCTTGGTCAGGGTAAACATTACTTAGCAACAACTAAAAACAGTGTTATCAGCGTTGTTTCCAGGCTGAAAGTCAAAAAACACAGCGCTGCACCAGCTACCAAGAAGGTGAAAAAAAATCACTGCTACTGCTAAACCCAGGACAGAGTTTTAACCCATCACCCCTTGTCCTATCGCTACAGTCCCTAATGAAGAGTCCCTCCTCAGCACCCCTTTAGGCCCCCTTCAGATACTGGAAGGCTGCTATGAGGTCTCCATGCAGCCTTATCTTCCCCAGGCTGAACAGCCTCAACTTTCTCAGACTATCTTCATATGGGAGGTGCTGCAGTCCCCTGATCATCCTCGTGGCCCGCCTCTGGAATAGGTCCAACAGTTCCATGTCCTTTTTATGTTGAGGACACCAGAACTGTACACAGTACTCCAAGTGAGGTGTTGCGAGAGCAGAGTAGAGGGGCAGGATCACCTCCTTCAACCTGCTGGTCATGCTCCTTTTGATGCAGCCCAGGATACGGTTGGCTTTCTGGGCTGCAAGCACACACTGGAGCCAGCTCACGTGAAGTTTCTCATCGACCAACACCTCCAAGTCCTTTTCCGCAGGGTTGCTCTGAATTTTTTCTCTGCCCAACCTGTAGCTCTGCCTGGTATTGCTCCAACCCAGGTGCAGGACCTTGCACTTGGCATGGTTAAACTTTATGAGGTTGGGATCAACCCACCTCACAAGCATGTCAAGATCAGTCTGTATGGCATTCCTTCCCTCCAATGTACCAACCGAACCACACAGCTTGGTGTCACCAGTAAACTTGCTGAGGAAGTACTCAATCCCACTGTCCATGTCACTGACAAAGTTGCTGAACAAGACTGTTCCCAACACCAATCCCTGAGGGACACCACTCATTACTAGTTTCAGTAACACATGCATTTGCAGCATCTTCTTCTTGGTTTTAACGTAACAATGAAGAAAACATAATCTTGGCAGATAGATAGAAACCAAACCTGAAACATGTAACATTCAGCATTACACAGCATATTATATGCCATCCAATCCTGACCAACATTTCTTCATGGTATATAATAGTATTTGAAGAAGGACTAAGTCTTTCCAGCCCTCCCTGTTTTAACAGTTGTCAAAGTCATCACCAAAAGTATATGCTTGCCACAATCCAATGAATGCCACTTTCTTGGTGAGCAACAATAAAGAAAATAAACTGAACATCTGAGCCTTCAGAGGCAAAAACTTCTGTGAACTTCAACACCTAAAGATTATTTTGGTTTTGCCTTCAAGCACTTGCTCTCCCAGCAAAAACGTTAATTTAAAGTTTCTATGCCAAGTATACTAATACAGACCAACAAAGCAGTATTTAATCAAGGTGCTAGTGGGATACTAACAATAAGAATAAAACTCATCACTAGCAACTAGCTGCCTGCTTAAGTAGTGTTAACATGCAATTCAGGCTGGGGGATAATGAGAAGGTGGGGGAAGGGGGGAAAGGAGGGAAGGAAGAAAGGAAGGAGGGAGGGAGGGAGCCAGCTATTTGGACATTTTCTTGGCTTTTTATTACTACTCCTAACTTTATGTTTACCACAGGTTTGTGGGTTTTTTCCCCTTTTACATCACTTGTAAGTAAAACATTTCAGCATATAGCTCTTTACAAAGATAACAGCAAGATCAAAGACACTTCCCCCCACCACCATCGGTCCTCTGGCATCTGTTAAACGAGCAAGTGTAAGCCTTTGATTTCTTCACCACTCTGCAAGTTACAGCCAGGCCAATAGCATTCTGCTAGGTTTAATTCAAACAGAATCTCTAATATCCTCAGAACTTTATTTAACAAAATCACTGGACGCAATAAATTTGCTGGGTTCCATGTTTTCCTGAAGACCAAAAGAAAACATAATGTGTACAATTTTGTCTCAACATGACATCTTAAAGATGCCAACACAAAATGCTGGTCTTGGAGAAAAAGGAACAGCTTGATCAAAAGAGACCACATCACAGACCACTACTCTACACAACTAGAAATGCATGTGGTAAACTTCCTCAGAGAAAACTGTTCCACAAAATTGAAGCTCAGATCCCAGGCATCACATGCCAAGAAATGAAATGTTCCACCAATGTTCACTTTTACTTCACTTAGAAAAACTCTCTACCACTTAGCTTTCTTCCTAAAGGTGTCCTCTCTGAAAATGCATTGTTTTGACTGCCATCAGACTGCGAGGCCAAGCTTTAGCATGCCTTCACCCAACAGTGTTCAAATTAATTATTTTTCATATCTTCAGTACAGCTGACTACCCAAAAACTTGGCTAGTTGCTGTGTCTGCCTCCCACAGTCTCTGCAATAACCATCTACTCGCAGTGTTCAGCTTTCTACCTTCTGCATTCCTGGTCTTGATTTTCAATTTAAGACTACTCTCAGCATGATTTACATTGTACTATAAAGCTCACGCTCAGATCAACCTCAGTAAACATGAACAACTTGGGTTCAAACATTCAGGAAGTCATAAAATTCGGTATGCAGGAATCTTTTCAAGGCTCTCAAAACTATGTTACAGTAAGATATTATGAAATCTTTTCAAACAGCTCATAAAAAAACTCGTTTTCTGGTTTGCTGTTGATAGGGTCATATTAGTGTCATCAGTAAATCCATGTATTTGGTTTTTATTTTCTGTCTTACATGAACAGGTAAATCTCATTTAATCATCAGCAATGAGGAATCTGGAAAATCATACGGCTTTCCAACAAACTTAAAGACCTTGTTGTTTCTATAATCCACCCACCATCCCTTCTGAAAACCTTGTTCTAGCTCAAGTATTTTATTGGTTTCAAATAACCTGCAGAAACCATGAAAAGGCAAGTGAGCCAGGGCACATTAACATGTACAGCAAATATATCTAATAAAAGCACACTACATTGTTTTAGTTTCAACTGAGAACAAAGGAGATGAAGCCAGCTGCTCTAAGTACATAACCAGAGAGGGGAACAAATTGTCCACACCTCCTCTCTGGGAAATGATATTTTGGACACACTGTAAGATATTTTTTTTTTTTTTTAAAAGAAAAAGAAAAGAAAAAAGGGAAAGGGGGAAAACAAAAGCACAGGGATTCAAAGACCTAACATTCATCTAGGAATATTTTGCCACTCATTATATTTCTATTGATTCTGGGTTTAATGTGACAGGCTTTTAGCATTCTCTCACTCATAAGAGCATAGAATCTAGTTACAGCTCTACTAAGATTGTATCAATACTATGCTCTTTATAAGCTGCTCAGCGATGTTAATGCTAGAAGGGATTTTTTTTCCAAATACACATTTATTGTGTAATAAATGCATAAACAGTGCTTCAAGCCACATGTCAAACATAAGCATTTTTTGTACAGTGCCACACAACAGAAAAATAAGTCATCCTTACACCTCTAACTATAGAAATGTTCAAAAACAGGAAGGGAGTCCCCTTCTTGGTGTAGACCAGGACTAAATATCATTCAATAGAAACTGCTGGGGGATGAGGAGAAGAAAAGGAATTCTGCTCAAAGAACTACAGCATAAAAGAAAGATAATAAAGACAGAAGCACTGAAGACCAGGTGCTTCTAACAAGTTGGAAATGTTGCTATTACAAGTATTTTTCAGTTAGTGTAATTTCTTCAATTGCTCAACTGATAGATTTTTACTACAGGCAAACACAACTATGATAGGAAATAGGCTGGGTTAGGGACCTAATTACAAAATCTAGTCTACTGTTGCTGCCTAACATGTATAAAATACTTTCAATGAGTCCCAAAACTCACTATGCCTTCCTCTGCCCACAACACCAGATTTTTTGTTTTGCTCAAGATCTCACAACTACACATTGCATTACAAAGTTGCTAACATTTGAAAACTTCCCTTACACAATTGCCAAACCCTAGAAGAAGGGTCACAGCAGGAGATGTTTTATATTACACTTGGAGTAAGCCATTAATTGACACCTGTTAATCAGCATATATCAGTATTTCAGTAACTTACAATCATCTTCCCATATTTAAACCTTTTTAACATTTTTCAGTAATTTTCACAATGTTGTTATATTTTTCTGGTTTGCCTGACTTGGTATTTTTCACACTTCATTGATAGGCTTTGAGCAACCTGGTCTAGTGGAAGGTGTCCCTGTCCACGGCAGGAAGCTGGAACAAGATAATCTTTAAGGTCCCTTGAAATCCAAATAATTCTATGTTTCTGTGATTAGAAACTATCATTTGTTGTTTCTTTATAGTTTTAAATAAGTCAATCCCCCTCCACCCACAAAGCGTATTTTAAAAGCATCAGTGAGTACAAAATCTCATTACAGTATCTTTAAGCTGGAGAAAAAAAAAAAAGAAAAAGGACTTGTTATGGTAAATCTTAATTCTGAAAACACTTTTGGCTAGGTGTGCTAATGTCATTTTAGACTACTCACTTCCCACATGAGCCTGCAGTCTGTGCTCTCATCCAGCTCCTCAGGCATTCGCTTCTCCCCTGCAAAGGGGCCAAATTTTTCACCCTAAAGGCAAAATTATAAAAGAAAAAGAATTAGTGGAAAAAATAATCGAATAAAGGCAAGTGAATTACCAACCTCCAGCAGAGGATCACTTTCAGCTTCAAATGGCAAAGGACAGTTTTCCTTTCTCATCCAACTACATGCCACAAGGGTGCGCACCCTTCAGGATTCAACTTCAAGCTCATTCCCACTCTTCTCGTAGCTTGGAGAATCTGTTAAAACCATACCTTTCCTGTACATGCTTATTTCCCCTTTGGGAAACAGCATTTTCTTAATTTTAAACAAGGCTGAAATTTACGCGTGAAATTTCTGACATTTCTCACAAAATTTTCAAGTACCTTGCAATAGACAGCCAACTAAGGCATGAAGTATTTGGCAAGCACAAAGTTTACATTAGATTTATTTGCAAGATTATTTGCAATACTACTTTTTCAAGTGCCACATATCAAAACACTGAATAACTGAGAGTCTGATCATACAGAGAGATTCATTTAAAAACAAAAGGAGTATGCACATGTCTATGAATTAATTCAAGCTTTCATAAATAAAATTAAAATGTTATACCACCTGCTACTCATAACACATGCTGTGGAAGCATCCATTGATATGTTCTTCCATCACAGATGTCACACTACCAGAAGGGTAAATTATTTAAATAGGACTTTCTTCTAATACAGGCCTAGCTCCTCCCCATTCCCCCAACCCTGTCCTTATTTACAGTGACAACCCCTACAAACTGGAATGCACAATGTTCCTTTAAGCAGTACTCAAGTCTAAAAGCTCTATATACTTCTAAGCATTACAGATTATAAATATATAATGAAAATCAACTTTGGTGTTTCTTTAAAAATAATGCTATTATGGCTAATAAAAGTATTGATCTTCTCCACTCATCCCTTCCCCCAGGCATGTTCCATGATCCCAGTAACAGCCTGCTACATGTTTTGTATCTTGCTTAGTTTTTACAGATTCCCTACAGGTAGAACGGAGAGAAAGAACAATGCATCATTCCTCTGAGAAAACAACCAACCAAAAAAACCTAAAAAAAAAAACCAAAAAAAAAACCTTGTATTTAAAATTGAACCTGAAAGTCAATAAACAAAGGAAAAGCAAATTGGCATTGCAGGACAAGGTAACAGAGTTGAGGGCCAATATTTACAAATGTGCAAAAAGAAGATTTCATTAGAAAGAACAACAAAGCAGAAAGTAAAAAGACAACAACTGGAGCCCTTCTGGAGACACAGAAAGGGGCAGTGACATCAAAAACTGGCACTATGGGTCTTCACCTCTCACTTATCTCCATATCACCTTTCATTGTTTTGCTAAACAAATGAGGTCAGAGTTCCTCCCCTGCCAGTCATTTCCCAGTTCCATTTCTGCCTGCCTGGGATTTAATACTCAAACTGAAATTTTCTTCTTAATCATAGAATGGTTTGGGTTGGAAATGACCTTAAGATCACCTAGTACCAACCCCTCTGCCATGGGCAGGGATGTCTCACACTCCATCATGTTGCCCAAAGCTCTGTCCAACCTGGCCTTGAACACTGCCAAGGATGGAGCATTTACAACTTATTTGGGCAATCTGTTCCAGTGCCTCACCGCCCTTACAGTAAAGAAGGTCCTCCTTGTATAACCTGAACTTCCCCTGTTTACATTTACACCCATTACCCCTTGACCTATCACTACAGTCCCTGATGAAGAGTCCCTCAATCTTATCAGTAATGAAGGTGAAAACAGGTGAATACACTTGAATGTGTACAGCCATAAACATTCTCAGCTGAAGCTGACACCCCAGTAAACATACTAATATGTGCCAGGCAAGTGTCACATGAAAGGCAATTTGCTTAAATTGCATTGTTTTCTCAGATTAAGAAGGAGGAAGAGCCAAGGTGATATCAGAGGAAAACTTCTCTGGAAACAGTAAGGTCCTGTCTAGCTCAGTAAAGATAAGGCAGGCCCTTTCTGGAGCAGAAGCCTCCTGCCAAGCTGAGCTGGCTTCCCCCATTCACTCAGAAAGTAACAGGCTTGGTGCAACAGGGAAAGCAGCTCACGACAACTGCTGAGGTCTAAAAGGGCATAATTTTATCTGCAGAATCTTTCATTACTCATAGCAATTATCAAGATGGAAAGAATCCTATTGGACTATAATCTATAGTCCAATCTATAATCTAGATTAGTTCTATAGAAAGAAAAAAAAGAAAAACAGTAACACAAGTTTACTCTGGAAATTATTTAAAGACATAATAAATAAGAAACCTAAAAAAAACTAGTCTCCCACATTCACTTCAGCGGCAGAATAACACTTTTTAAGACAACCTGAAAAGATTAATTACTTCTTTAAGAATTTTGGACGTTTCCACAACCCTCACCTCAGAAATACCTTCGTACTTACAATCCAAAAGATCCCTAGGTACCTTGTAAAGCATCTGCAGTGTTAATTTTACCCATCACCAAAGCATGCATCACCTCTGGGATGAAGCACAGCAATAGCTTAATAATGCATACTGACTCAAAACAAGGAACACCATACAGCATTCCTATCTCAGCTACTCCAGACACATAAACCTCTACTGTAGTATGTTTAAGACCTTCTAGAAGCTTAAAACAATAGGAAAAGCAAAAGGCAAGATGTCCAGCTCTAAATGTAAAATATATGTAACATAAACAATAGCTGATTCGGAAGCTTTCTAGCTTCTCAAAATTGGAAAGAATTTAGAGACAGCAAAACTTCATGTCTTGGATCATGAAGGTCCATGGAGATAAGTGTAATTATTCATTTAGCCTTTCAGAGCATTTTCTTCATATATATATGTATTAGTCCTAGTTAATAAACATGCAGTCATATGTCATATATTAATCAAAACCACACTAAGACTTCAAATTCCTCCCTGATGAATAAAAGTGAGACATATAATAGAGTCTAAAGTCAACCACATTAATTATTCAAGACATGAAGGCACATCATTCAAACGTTAAAAAAGCTATTTTCAACAGTTGCTTTCAAGAAAGGAGCAGTGATAAATCTTCTTCCGGTCTTAGCAATGAGAAATGTAGTGGTTCTCCAATGATTAGACCAAGGTCCTTATAATACTGATGCTGTAACCAAAGGAGAGCTACTGAAGAAAAAAAGTTACAAGAGAATCACAGCTTGGGTAGAAGTAACGAAACAAAAAGTTTCCACATTTTATGATTACAGATGAAAACTTCAAAGCACAGCGTAATACCTAAAGGCACAAAAGCAGGTAGCAGACAACAGCCATTCAAAATGTATTATCACCAAAATTTTGCTAATAGGAGAATTTTCAGAGGCCTAATTCATGATTATTTAGCACTTGGAGAGTTGGCACTGCAATTTCTGATTATAAAATAATTTGAAATGTGTTTTACTTTCAGTCTTCATATTCAACACCTCCTCCCAATCCCAAAGCTTCAAAGAACTGATTTACCTGCTATTAGCTACTTTATCACAGCCATGAAGTGTAGTACTGCTGCCTCATTACCAGAGAAGAAAATATGTTGAGAGCACTTCAGATGTGATTTTTCTTTTTGTGGAAAAGAGTAACAGGCTGGCTATATCCAACATGTCATCCATGTCACTTACACATCCACCCTTTCTGAACAGCTGTGGCAACACACAGTGCTTCAGTCTCCAATCATTTTAGGAATACCTGTTCCAACCACTGCCCACACAGCAACTCAAGAGCTGGTTCCTCAGGCTATCAAAGACTAATGTCCGCCTGTCAGACACAGACTTCTGATCAGGGATTTTCATACCACAATCCTGTGTGCTACCAGCAGGGGATTAATTGTCAAATAAAGGACAAGCCTGTAACAGACACTCCCAATACAAACAGATCTCTTACTACAACTGCCTCTGCCTTTACTTTCTGCATTCCACATGCTATACGTGTCACACAGCACCATTTCATGTTTCCAGGATGTCCTGTATGATGTGCTCACACTGGCAGAGCTCTGATAGCATATACTTTGCCAGCGTAACAGAGTTCAAAAGCAACATGGAGTAATTCAGGTAGGAAATGGTCCAACTGTCAACAGTGTAAAGGAAGGGGGCTCAGGCCCTGAACCGAAATTCAGAACCATATGTAGATAATCATTTCCTTGAGCTTCAGTCTACAGCTCACTCTATTTCAGAGTTCAAGGATTAAGAAGTGCTAGTAGCATAGAGACTTCCCTGCTGTGTGAAGTCCCAGTTTTCAAAGGAAAGATCAGAACCTCTGGGGGGAAAAAAAAATAAATAAATTATGCCCACCGATATAAAATTTTTCACTTCCACCCCCTGTTAATACTGAGGGGCACCTTAAAAATGAGAGACCCTCTACCGATGGTGTCTAACCTTTGTTGATGAAATCACTGGAAAATTAGGCAGCCCTCCCACCCCACTCAGAGCCAAAACCAGGACTAAGATGAAAAGCAAAACACAGAAAATACATATAAGTGTATACTAATAAGGGTTCATAACTTTTATGCCTTTATCTGTGCTACCAAGCCACCTGGGCAGTTATAACTGGGATTTCAGGTCATCAAGAGATTTTCTATTCAATTATGTCAAGGGACAATACCTGGTTAGGGTATGAGAGTAGTGCACCACAACTGGACGGTATTTTTCACAGGCCCGGCTTTATTATCTCGAAACGACGGACTCAAAACACTGCTCCCGCCGAGCCCTCAGGTGAGAAATGCGGCGGGAGCCTGCGGCCGAAGGGGGCCGCAGATGGGCGCCGCGGCCTGAAGGCGATCGGTGATTGGGGAGCCAGCCCTACCCTCACCCCAGCGCCAGAAACACCAACGGAGTTTAAACAAAACGGGTGGCACAGACACCCACAGAGAAAACCTTCCGCCGACTGCACAGGGTAGGACCCCGCCGCCCTTCCCCCCCCCCCCCCCCCGGGCGGCAGCTCCCCGGGACGAACCCTTTGGGGGGAATAGGGAGATCAGGCACTGCCTCCCCCGGAGGGGAGAGCGCCCACAAAGTGGCTCTGAGGTAACGTTAGATTGCCGCAGCCCGGCCGGCGGCGGCAAGGAGGGGAGGAGTCGCCCCACTCTCCTGTGATACGTGGCATCCGCTCCCCGCCTGCTCGGGCCGGCCCAGGCCGCTACCCTAGTTGCCCGACCATCACCCACCTTCTTAACTCTGCGGGCCGCGTAGAGCCCCATCCCGTCCTGCACTTTTGACGATTTCAGGGCAAACCTATCCGGCACGTACATGCCCAGCATTTTGCACCGAACAGAGCCGCCGCCTGCTACCGGGAAGAAGGACCACCGGGGACTTCGATCCCACCGGGAGCGCGAGCGCAACCGCCGGGCCAGGGGAGGGCGTACGAAGAGGGGCTGGCTGCGGGGCTTCCCTGGCTCTTCAGGCCGAGGGGAGGAGCAAAGCCGCCCTCGAGGGGGAACAGGGCGGGGCATCAGCAGGGGGCGCGCGCGCACGGCGGGGCAGAGACCGCGCGCGGGCCGGTTAGGTGGGGGTGCGTCAATGTCGGGACTAAAAATACGAGGCCCTCGGGCTTCCAACGCTCCCACGGCTGAGGCCTGGCCTCAGCATGGGTCACGGCACCCGCGGCCTCCTCATGTGTGCTCAGGCATAAGCAGTGTGCTCTGCAGAGGCATGAAAGCCTGCTTCTCATCTGCAGGCTGGTTTGTCCAGAGCAAATGGCTGTTCATCATACAGTCGTGGCCTTATGGTCCAGCACCGGCAAGCTCATCCCTCAGGTTGCTGCAGTCGTGTAACCCAGACGCAGCTGGGAGTGCAGAAAGGTGGGCAGGCATCATGGGGTCTCGGGTCCAAAAGGTGGAGCTAATTGTGAAGGCCAGCAGAGGCAGACAATCTGTGCCCTGTCACAAAAACCCAGAGGTTTTTGTGTGTTTAAGAACTGGGACCTCTCACATACATGCTTAAATAGTCGCTGCTGGCATGCACAGATATGAGTGCTAGAGAGAAACAATACCCACACTTCGCAGTTACGTAGTCACACTTTCCACAAACACAGTATTGTCTCAAAACAGCGCCCATTTATCCTCATTATTTTTGTATTGCAGGAATGGGCAAATCCAGATTTAGATTCACTTTTGAAAACACATAATCCTTCACTTTTGGAGACTTTTTTGGTGGAAAAAAGAGGGAATGATGGAAATCTAGCACTTCTAAAGGAACCCCAAACATTCTGTCTAATTGTGTTTGTCTGAAGATTAACATATGTTTTCACTGTATACCTAGCAGGGGCATTGTATTCCAACTAATACTGCGCACAATCTAGTTTGAACAGGGAGAAAGAAGTTACATTTTAGCAGGTTGATGACAGCACACCACTACTCTTTTTCATAAAACTGCAATATCCAACATTGAACTTTTTCTAGAAGACTGAGAAAGCTGGAGTTGCTCAGCCTAGATAGGAAGAGGCTCCAGAAGACCTTAGAGCAGCTTCCAGTGCCTAAAAGGGTCCTACAAGAAATGTGGAGAGGTGCTTTTGACAAGAGCATGTAGTGATAGGACAAGGCTTTAAGCTGAGAGAGGGGAGATTTAGATCAGTCTCCTTTTGTAGCATAATAGGTGTTATGACATTAAACATATTTACAACTGTCTGGCCACTTGTACCAGCATTTTTTTTTTTATTTAAATTAATCAGCCATCGACCATAACACCTTATAAATGGGTTTCATATGCTGTTGGTGTCAGCATTTGTCCTTTCTGGTTTATACAAAGGTCAGTGGGGGGAATAAAGTCAGCCTTGTTGAGCTGAGAGCTGCTACTTGGGTAGATATGTATGTTAACAGTTCTGTCGTGTTTTGTCCTAGCTGCAGTGGCAAGGAGGGTGAGGTCCAAATGAAGCAAATCAGACAGAACAGAGATGAAAGATGACACAGGGTGCTGAATGTACACTGATTATTAGACAGTGGTAAGACCGGAGCCTGGTAAGTTTCAACATAACTATTTTGTGTTTGGTACATACACAGCTTGGGTGCGTATAGCCTCCCTTAGTTCTCTGTCATGAACAGAACTGATTGCAGGCCATACCTATGCCAGCACTGCCTTCAGCTGAAGACACAGCATACACAAGTGAAAAGTATGTTCTTGCTGGCATAGCTCTAAAGTGTCCAATTGAACTACTGCATACAAACTTCTGTTGCAATTGCTGCAGATATACTGGGGTTTGCTGGCATAGCAGCTGAAAAATCTCTCCCCTCCTCAAAGAGCAAACATTGAGCTGTAACTCATTTGCAGTTTAGCACAGGGAAACTGAATGTGCTCAGCACTGTTTCTGTTTTGCTCCATAGTTGCTTGTTTAGAACTACATGGAACCGTAAGGAGAAATACAAGGGCATCCAGCAGCCTTCAGGTTTGAAGCCTAATGGTGTCTAACTATTTACATAACTTCCTTGGAGAGAGGAAGAGGTATTTTCAGAAGAAAGCTCTTACGTAGTTATGGAAGCTGCTGTGCCCAAATGAAATTCATGGCAGGAATCCACGTGTGGTGACAAACAAAATAATTACAAGAGTTACTTTTCTGAAGTTACAATACTAGTTGCAACACTACACCAGAAGCAGGGTATGATATTCCCTCCACCAGAGAACCGGTTAACTGAGGGTTGTACTTGAGTTACATGTCACATTCTAAGGGAAGAAAGATTTAACACAAAAATGGTCTTGAAGATGCTGAAAGTAATCATGCCAGCCACTGAAGTATCCAGCAGCTTAGAAGGAAAATCTGTTCTCCAGAAGAAAGGATGCCCTTTCATAGCTAACCCCTTGTTTAAGATGGTGTAATATCATCCTTAAAAGTTTTCAGGGACTTAACATTTCTTTCCTCACTCCTCCTGCCCCTCAGGCAGCTGGACTGAAATCAGAGAGGCAAATGGTTTTTTTATCTGAGAATTCCTTGCATCCCTAAGTATTAGAATATTAGCTTTTGCAGTATCCATATTAATATCAGAATTTGATTCTGGCACCCGACAGATCTCAGAAAGGGTGTTCACAGTAATGGCTCTCCCATTTTGTACATTCACTGGTCCACAGAACATTTCTACAATGCAAATTGATAAGGTTTGCTGCTACTGTTTCGAGAACTTCCCTCCTGGATCTGTGTATCTCATTCAGAACCATATCTACTTCCTCTTAACCTGGTAAGATCAGGAACAGTACCTGAGAAACAATCTTTGGTTTATCTGGATTGTACCCCGTTTGCAGGACATATCCAGACCTGGTATCTGGACCAGGATGGAAAAGGGCTTTGCACTTTCATTTTGCACTGAAGTTTTCAGGAAGCAAAGGCTTCAGCTTGACTAATGATAGAATCCAAGGAGAAGATGGGAAGAGGAATACCATGCAGATCTCTCAGGGTTTTTTGATCTTTTGCTATACAGAATTCAGCCTAAAGTTACCTTTCTTTTTCTACTCCATTCCCCAAAGAAACCAACTGATAGATATGGGGAAAAAAAAAATCTCTCCTTCTTTAAAGCGGCTATGGTATACAATGCTGACAAGCTGAATACAAAACCATATTGCTTTAGTCCCCACAACATGCCAGTGCATACAGACAGGAGTCTTTCATTGTTTCTGAAGATAAATCCAAGTGTAATACTCTTAAATTAAATATTTAGAAACAAGCAGCAAATGAAGTAACATAGCTAGTAACAGCTGTGTATGCCTTTAGAATCTACCCTGCTTTGTGACCAATTCTACTCTTGCTACTAGTAATTACCAGCACAGTGACTCTAAGTACCCGGAACAAATTGTGTTGACATGGAGCCAACTTAAACCATGTGTTATACTACTAACTAAAAACTCAATCTCTTATATGTAAGACAATCTACTTTACAAACCAAATAAGTCTAGCTTTTGTAAATACGACAATAAGCCCCATCTACTCTATGTCTTAGGGCTAAGGTGTTTGTTTTTTTTTTTATTTCCACTTCTAACCATGTTTGTTTTGTCTGTATTTTCTGGTCATCTGAAAAACTTATGTTATTCTATCCCTAACACGCTTTGATTTTCTGAGGAAAATTCCTTTCAGAGTTATTTTTAAGGACTGCTTTCTTGTTTTGTGGCTGCTTGTTTTTTCTACACTGATTCTTTCAGATCATTTTGAATTCAGTAAACACTTGAACCTAAAGAATTATTTCCTCACCAAATCCCTCTTCTAATCAATGCACAGTTGGCCTTTTGGTTTTCTCTGTAAACCAATACAGACGTCTTGTGTTGTGATTCTCAAGGTCACACAAAGCAGTGAACGGTAAGATTAGTTTTTAACTTGTCTCTTTCCTTGCTTACATGTACAGAGTTGTTACTGTCAAAGTTTCTTTCTCAAATATTTGAAGTCCTGGAAGTTAGCTGCCAGATTTCAGAATTAAGATTTTTCTCCTTCCCCTTTGAAAATATAAAAAATACATACACGTGTTTGCATTTCCATTCCCAAGCTGACTGCATATGAAGTGTTTACTCTTGAGTTTTTTAAACTGGAGTTTATAAATAAAAATCTTAAGACAAAATGTTAAGTGAATAGCAGATTAAGCTAGTAATGCAGGTTTCACAGTAATGTATTAAGGAACAACCACTTAATCCACATCATGCTATATGGACCTAAAAGAAGCCAAATACAACTTGACTGTAGTAGATTTTTGCTGCTGTCTCACACGACAACTACACATAAGCAATATACGTCTAAAGAGCTAGCAGAAAATGGTTAAACATACTTAGTACCAGTAACTTGCTGGTAGAGTTGTAGGCTCTACCCAGAGCCCCTGTAGTGTTTACATTTTTATCTTGACAAATTCAAGGTGTGATCTGATAAACCAGGTTGCTGTTCAGTAGTGGAAATATAGCTACAAAACATAAGCAAAAGGCATAGAGCATACAATTGCTCAGGTAGCACCTCTTCAGAAAAATAGCAGCAACTCTAGCAACAGTGGGTCTTGAGCTGAATTTGAGCCAAAGTTGTTATGCTGGTGTGAAAAATAGATATATATTTTATATATTTTTTATATATTATGTATAAAATATATGCAATCATTTTATGCATTTATATATATTATATATATACATTTACTCGTACACCCCAGCGTGAAAGACTGCAAGATAAAAACAACTTTCAGTATTGGTTCAGCCTCAGCACACAAATATATTTGCTTGTTTTAAAACATCTAGTGTAAGCCATCTCCATTTTCTTCAGTTACAGAACTGACAGAATAACTTTGTGCAATGGCAAATGAACTCCCAGGCCACATCCTTACACACTGTAAAAGTGTCTTCCTTAGCTCAGTGATAAATTTCAGCTCAGGAGTGCCTTTCTCAACTAATCTCCCCTTGCTTTTCCTATTAGTCCTTTCACGATCAGGTCGTGTCCCCCCCCCGCCTCCCTCCCCTTTGTTAATGGAAAGGGACTTTCCAGATCAGCTTCTCCCTGGTGAGCTGGTTCTTTCAATCCTAACCATTCAAACACATGCCCCACTGCATAAAGGTCATACCTTCTCAGGCCCCATTTCCCATTAGGCCTTGCATTGAGTTGATCCTTCTGGGATCAGTAAGTCTTAAATTTACCTACTTCCTCTTCTACTTGCAACCTAATCTTGAGGGGGATATTCACATAACATGAGCTTTGTCACGAAGTTGATTACTACTCTCTGCAACTATTTTTATGTGTTGAAAAAACATAGAAATTAGGCTCCCTTTCAATACCTGCTCTTTGCCTATCATTTAACTCACTGTATTTGTCAGTCTAAACACATGATAAATTCTCACAAAACTGTGAAAGAGCTTTAATGCTGTGTTTTCCCAACATTCCTGAACAGAACATAGAAGCTGACACACCATGTTGAGTTTTCTTGTGGCAGGAAGACAGCTGACTATTGTACTATGAGCTTACAGTGGTTTGTTAATATTATTATAGCAGACAGAGGACAACTGTAAGTACATTTTCAAAATCTGTCCTATCCTTTGCTCAGAGACTTGTTTCAGGTCCTCTTTCACAATTCATTATACTTTTTGGCCTCACTGTCTTCTTCCCATTCTCAGAAAAACAGCATTTGAGTTACCTCTTTTCAACTTCATGAATGTCCACTACTCTTCACCTTTCGGTATCCAGTTTAGCTGTGTCTGAACCACCAGTGGAGGGTTTAAACTCCCTGATTATCCACAATACATACTCGTCAGTTTCTTCCTGAACTGTGAGCTGTAGCGATTCAATTCTGCTGGTCACAGAAGAGAACAGTTTGCTCTAAGGCCTAAAGGAAATGGGAACACGTATACACCTACATTGTGGTGTATGGGGAGCTAAGCCTTATTCCCAGGTCCCTTAAAAGGCAATACTTCCATAGCTTTAATCATCGTGTACCAGATCCCATGACAATTATTACCTTCTTGCATTGCAGCCTGCATACCTACTACTTTCCCTTCCGACCCCTTGCCATCCTCTTTACTCATGTGTCTTGATTCCTGCTTCAAGGACAGGAATCATGTCTTGATTCCTGTTTCATTCTAGTAGTCCTTTCTGCTGGGAAAAGGCCCTCAACTTTTAGCCACCAAATACTTCCCTTTGTTTCAAGGACCAGCACATGCCTCCAGTATTTACAGACACTGATTTTTATTTTTTTTTCCTGTTTTATGAAGTGTTGAATTTACATTTGTCAATGGTATTTGACCTAAGATATTAGACAAAAAACAAGGTAGCCATACCATTAGGGATGGAGGCAGTAGATGTGAAATGCAGGGAGAATTCTCATTGACTTCAGGAGTCAAGTATGTGGGAATATTATTGAAATCAGCATACCACGTAGATTGAGGTGTCTGATAAGAGGCAACATGACATTCAGCCCCATAAATAGTTTCTTTTGGGGTTTGAGTCAATTTTGAGCACAGTACAACATTAAAAGGGGGATTGAGTCCTGAGACTACTTCTGTGAAAAGGAATTGATTAGTA